TTTACGAAGACCCTCGGGCAGGTTTGCTCCCGTGGAGGTTTCTGTCAAGTGACACGCGGCAAGCTTTATAGGCTGCTCTCCAAGGGACGCCCACAAATCTTGCTGGATTTCCCGCAAGGGCAGGATCGTATCACGTGCCGTGTGCTCAGGTGTTGGTTCTTTCAGGTGCATGGAAGACGGGCGCCCGCCATTTCCTAGCAGGGACTGTCTGGGCCTGGCAGGAACCTCCCCCCCAGGTGATAAAGAGGGGGCAGGAAGGGGAAAGAGCCAGCTGGGTCAGCTCCATGGACACACCTCGTGGCTTCCCTGCGTGGGATGCGCTGGGGCCTGCCTCCACAGTGGCATACCTCAGAGACGGACCTCAGGCAGCGCCCTGGAGATCTCCGATAGCAGTGCATTCCCAGTGCCAAGTTAGGTCTCGCCTCCACTGCCCAGCCATATTCCTAGGGGCAGGTCTGCTCCAGCCATGTCTAATTATACCGCCCTTTTTAATTTAATAGACAAGAAGAGTATGTGCACTGCTGGATAAACTGGATTTTGGCGCCAGTGGTTGGAGGCGGTGATGGGGACATGCAGAGTGTGAGGGGAGCTTAAGGATGGATCTCAACAGGTCATCGCAGCCCTTGGAAGGTGCAGCCGAGAAAGGAGACGGCAGGCGCTGTCTCTGGGGGCGGTGGGTGGACGGACCGACCGAGATCTGACGGAAAAGCAAGCTGGCTGGGAATGCAGAATGGGGGAAAGGCCAGCATGGTGCCATTACAGGGAGCAAGCCGGCTCTTGGCCGCACCAAGAGCTTCCGAGGGAAACTGTTTTCCCTGCATACTGGGAGGTCAGAGACCCCCAAAAGTGGCGTGAAGCTTCAGGTGTTTTTCCATTCCAAGGAGCAATTCCTGAGAGGAGGAAACCTGAACCCCATCAAGTCCTCCATTAACCTACTGAATCAAATAATAAGAACCCAAACAGGTCTGCTCAAAAACAGCTGGGCATTCAGGATGATGATGATGCAAAATTTCAAAAGAGCTGAACATTCACATGACACATTAACCTTTAAGGAACCCGATTTTCTTCTGTAAATTCACTGCTAAGTCTCATAGATGGATTCTCCTGTCATAAAGTTAAGCATCTCTCTGCAGATTCGATACGATTGCATGTCCCATCACTCACCACTCTGCCCAAGAGGAACCCTCGTCAAAAATATTGGAAACAAACAATCAAACAAGCATCACGTTAATGTAATTCACATTTTTAAAATTCTACTATTCTCTGAGTCCGCCGCACTCCAGATTAGAGCCCCGAGGTTAGACATTCTCTCTGCCATTTGCCGCTGCTATGAAAACACACTCTGAACTGATACTCCGCGGCACTGCCAACTTGATCAGACACTCCCAGGGGCCTTCGGTCCAGCTGAGAGACCAAGGCTCATGCACTTGGTGGCTTGAACTAATGGAAAAGTTCAGGTATACCTCTCACCCTTATCACTTGCACATTGCACACGAGGGAAAAGCAACGCGAAGGATGCTTTGCGTCAGGCACAGGGTCACCAGAGAACATAAATCAGTGCTGCTCCTGCCTCTTGGAAGAAGGTAAGCAGGAGAAAGAGCAGTGACTGGAAGGAAGGGTCAAACAGCCACCTGAAATGAACCCTGGAAGGCACCCCTTAATGAAGGCCATTGCCCAGGAACCCTGCAAAGGTGAAAAGAGGTGGTGCTTTAGGCTCGCAACCTACAAACGTGAATAACAGGCAGGCATGCTGGTCTGTTCGAGAATCCAAAATTACAGTCCTAATTTTATTAGGACCAGCTCAGGCAGCTTCAGGGGCTTTTATAATGTCTAGATTACCTCCCTGCTCTTTCAACAGCTTTCCTTAACGTCCCGCAAAAGACTTGCTCTGCAAGCTTTTAGTTGGTCTTGATGAGGGAATCCCCACCCAGAACCCCTCCCACGGCTCTTTGGCTTACTCCACCGAAGGACCACTAACAAAAGCACTGCTGGAAGGGCTCCTATAACATGGGCAGAGATCGTCATGCACCGAAACTGCTTGCGCGAAGTTCTAGCAAGAGCTCTTAGCCTGCTAAGCGGGAGCACATTAAGAGGGAGTGGAGAGGGGAAATACTTGGATCTGGGAACTGCAGCAAGCGTCTTTGCCCGTCAATTCAGGGATCCTTCCTTATCAAGCGCAACATTGCACATTTCCTGGGTAGATGGAGGGAGGCAGTGGAAACTCTGTGGCTGAGCAGCATTAGCCAAGGTGGTCTCCTTAACAGATTGGCTATTTATCTCTTCCACTTGCCTCTAGACACTGACAACTTGACCAATATTCTTTCCGTAAACTTTTAGCATCATTAAGGCTTGGCCCTGTACCTTCAGTATCTGTGTTCTGATTTGATTAAAAGGGCAGAGTGCTTGTTATATTAAGAGGAGCATGTCTGATATAATTCAAGAGGACAAAGGGGCTGACAACCGCAACACGCCTCCTCATTCATCTCCTGGTCAACATTCTTGGAACGGATCACAAATCTGATAGCTGCGCTGTATTTATTAGTTCTCCCATGAAAGGGGCAGCTCTGTAGAAGCAGGCCGTTGGGCTGAATGATGGAAGGGAAAGCAACCGCGGAGTGTGTAGCTTGGCAACAGAGATACTTTGTCGTTTTATGACCCATCGGAGAATGTACAATCTAAGCAGCATCTGGTGAAAGTGCCTCACAACAGGTTTTCGTGCAAATGGCGTATTTTGAACATCGCCACTTCGTTCATCACTGCGACGGGGTTGTATAGCGCAGTTCCCAAAAGGATCCGTCCAAATCAACAGAATGCTTTGCTGCTCCCTTCCAGCAGCAAAGGAACATGGTGGGTTTGCAAGGCATCTGCAGAGGGGGCGCTTGCATGGCGGAAGCGGGTCTCCACTGACCTGCGGCCATTTCTAGAGAAGGCAGATCTGGCTGAGGCGGCCAAGACCTTCATGCCATCACGGCTGGGCTAGCGCAAACCGCTCTATGTAGGGAAGGGCCCAGAGGGTCCGCCATGTTGAGTGGGAGCACATGACCCCAGGACTTATTACGATCATCTCCAGGGGCTTTCTGGTCATCTTCAAGCCCATGTTTCGGCCGGACATTTCCTCTCACTGCAGCCAGCCGTTGCAACTCCCTGCCTAGGAGGTCCTTCTTGCCCCTCCTTGGCCTTCCACTCACTGCAAAGGTCTTCCTCAAAGCCCCTTGGCCTTCGGTCCCTGGAGATCACTGCTTGCCAATTACGCACAATGCTTCTTGCTCTTTACCCTTATTTATTTTTTAAATCTTGCCATTTTTATCACATTCCCAGATGTTACTCTGCACAGTTGCTTTTAAAACTTCGTTGTAGATTCTATTCTTTCCTTTTGACTACTGCTGTTCTTTCCTTTTGACTACTGCTATTTTTACTGTGTAGTATTTTACTATTTTCATAAGCCTGCTTGAGTTCTAGGGCGGGGGGGGTCGAAATGTTTTAAATAGATCCATCACTGTCAAGGGCTTTGCACAGCTGCCCTCCCAGAGGAAGTCTGAACGCCACCATTTTAGATAAGGCGCAACAGTTCAAACGGGGAAAAGGAAAAGTGGAGCAGGCTCCTTAGCGGAGACTCGGGTGGCGAGCCAGCTGCTGGGCACTGCGGGTTCCCACGTGGAAAACCCATCCGTGCAAGAGGCCAGAACTGCCAACAGGAAGGCGGAGCAGCTGCTCCGAAATGCACCTGCTGGACCACTCAATCTTTCTTGGAGGTCCTACTCAAAGCGCTTCACCTCCTGAGATGCTATTTATTTATTTATTCAAAACATTTATATCCAGCCCTACATGGGAAAAATGTCCCAGGACGGCTTACACTATTATAATAATTAAAACAACAACAAATAGCAAAAATTATAACAATTAATAACAGCAAGGGACCACCATAAACAGCAAAAACATGATATTAAAAATCCAAATGCAAATCAACAACAAAAGCAAAAGCAAAAGCAAAAACCAAACCAAACCAAACCAAACCAAACCAAAAAACTACTGTGGATGTTAAAACCGATTAAAATTTCTAATTCTTAAAATGATGGGGAAATAAAATACTATTGAGTAGCAGTGGAGGGCGCTCTGCAGCCTTGGCGTCTCCAGACATTTCGGCTAGCCCCCTGCGCTCACAGCTTTTGGTCCCAGGCAGGAAGCCTTCTTGTTCTGCCGTCAGACGGCCCTCCACTGTATCCATGCGCCAAATGAGCACAGCTGCTGGGAAGGCAGCTCCGTCGAGCGCAGTGCGGCTGACTGCGGTGCCAACACTCGCGGGGCCCTGCGCCGCACGGGTGGAATAGCTCTAATTCGACGCAGGACAGCTCTGGGGCAAACACAACCCATCTTCCGAGCTGGACGAGTTGCAGCAGCCCTGCCTGAGTGAAGCGGTGCCCCCCCCCCGGCCCCCCGAGATGCCAGCCCTGTTCCGGGGCCTCTGGACAGCCCCCCAAGGAAAGGCTCCGATGCCCCATTCCCCTGGGGGTGAGCAGGCATGGAACGCCGTCTCTCGGCCAACGAATCCCCCCAGCTTCGACCCGGATGGCCTGCGGAGCTAGGGACTGGGGATGTTACTGCAAGGTGCCCCCGCTTGGAGATATTGGACACATTTCAGTCGATTTAATTTAATTACGTTTGTAGGGGACGGGATGGAAAAGCTTTTAAGAAACAAACAAACAAACGGGAGGCTTTCCATAAGCAGAGCGCATTCCTCATGCCCTCTCCAAGACAAGTTTCAAGTATCTAGGTCTCAAGGTCCTGGTGTCGTGGGAGGGGAAGATGGGCATGCTCTTCTCTTGTGACAGATGGAAAATGGCTTCCCCCGTGTTGGTTTTAGTTATTTTTACCACTCACTGATTTAAAACACTGGGAGATGCTTCCGGATTCTTTGACCGGAGGCAGAATAAAACTACGGTAAATCAATGAAGCAAAGGAAATGAGTCTCTCTCTCTCTCTCTCTCTGTCTCCCCGCACAGGTGAGAGGCCCTTTGAATGTCGCTGGCAGGAATGCAGCAAGAAGTTTGCCCGCTCCGACGAGCTGGCCCGCCACTTCCGCACCCACACCGGTGAGAAGAAGTTCGGCTGCCCCCTCTGCGAGAAGCGCTTCATGCGCAGCGACCACCTGACCAAGCACGCCCGCCGGCACAGCAACTTCCACCCCAGCATGCTCAAGCGGCGGAGCGGGTCCAGCTCCCGGACAGGATCCCTGAGCGACTACAGCCGCTCGGACGCTTCCAGCCCCACCATCAGCCCCGCCAGCTCCCCCTAAGGCCTGCCTGCACTGGAAGCCAGCACTTTGCCCTCCTCGTTTCTCTGCGCCAGAGTCCGGTTTGTCGCACTGCTCAGCTCGCTTCGTGATTCCAAGACAGTTTGCTTTCTCGAGACGACGAGGCAACCGACAAGGACAAGCCATGCCACCTTCTCTCACCACAATCCCATAGCAGGAAATATTTGTCACCGAAGGGCGAAGGGACACACCTGCGAGCGACTGATTGCTAGTCAAGACTTTCTGCTGCTTTTTCCCTTGGAAGCCTTAAGAAGATGCTCCGGCTAGTTTTTAAACACACACACACATGCATATAAATATATATTTTTAAAGAAGACTTTTGCTCAGGTGATGAAGCGAATTTTGTAGAAACAAGAATGCAAAACAGGAATGCCTCTGCAAATAATTCAGCCGGGGGGGATGTCCCCACCTCCTCCTCCTCTCATCTTTCTCAGGGATATGTATTTATGTTACACAGTAAGTACAATGAAGACACACCTTCCCACAGCCTCGCTCGGCAAACACGATTGCACTCAGGACAGTCCCTTTCCCACGCTGCGGGGGGAGCCAGTGCTGCGTTTTGTGCTCGAAGGGTTGCTTTCGCAGTTGGTGTAAACACACTTGGGGGAGCAGGGCCTTCCAGAGCATGGCCCCAGTACTCTCACACTCAGCTGCTCTCATTTTTTCTCCTCTTGCCCATGGCGCTTCACACGGAGGCCTTCCCAGCACCACCTGCTTCCTCTTGCACAGTTTGTCTATGAAGTTCAATACTTTTTAAAGGTTTTTTTTTTCTTCTTCATTCTGGGGGTGCAGTGGGAATGCTTTTTAAAAATAACCATGACGCATTTGATGCCTTAATCGCATTTTCTAAATATGGGTAAATGTATTTACACTGGGGAACGGTTTATTCAGATCCAAAGGGCAGAATCACGCCATTGGAGGCATTACGATTTGGAGTCTGGCGGTCAGTTCTCCTGTGAAAGTCCCACAGGAATGAATGTGGTACACACAGGAGAACACCTGGAGGATCGGGCCCTGAACCCCTGCACTGCTCATCCCTTACACAACTAACAAAAATAAGTGTGCAGGCCGTATCCACTTGAACATTTTTTTTAAAGCCTGGGACGGCTGTGTATTCAAATTCATCAAAACTTTATCAAGGTACTTGTCTCCTAGACAGAATCCAGGTTCTCGAATTCTTCCAAACATTACTGCATTTTAGCTCTACGGTCAGTAACAAGGTGAAACGGAGAAGCAGTGCTCAGAAAGCGTTCTCTCACTCGGAAAACAAGACAGAAACACACACGCAGAAAGTGTTACAACCACGGTGTTCTAGCTCAACAGCTGCAGCCTGAGCGGGCACTTGCAGTCACTCCGCACATCACGGAAGGCTTCCCATTTTCACGACTACCGCTATTTGTTCCTCTACAGGTCTCACCTCACATCTCCAGACTCTGATCCACCAGAGACTCCCCCTCCTCAGCTGGCCACTCTGCCCCTCTTCCACACTGGTTAAAAAATGGACTCTGACCATTTAAAAACAAACAACTCCGTAAGAGAGACTCGTGTATGTCCACCTCCGTGTTCATTACAGGTGCAGGGGTGTATTTTGATGAAACTCGGGGCTTCATGTAACTGGCTAGAAGCATGTTTGATGTGTATTCACATCTGGGGCCACTGGCTTTTACGCACAAACAGCTGCATCAGGCCCAAGAAATATGGGTGCTTTAACCAGAATCTAATCTATGCTTTTGAAATGGGGAGGAGGGTGGAGGCCACGGGAATGCCGACACTTAGAAAGGAGGTTTTGCGAATGTTCGGATGCTGAAAAGTCAACATTCAGGTGCTTTTTCTGTGACCATGTCCCTTCCTTTTCCCTTTTTCTACTCTTTTTTACAACATTGTAAATACAAACGCAGTCATTGTAGCATAGTAAAACGAACTCCAAATCTCAAACTGCTGTTTACAATAGATATAACCCTCTCCACATTCCCAAAGTGTCTTAAGCAAGATCTTTATGCTTTGCAATAATTCCGTTTTGCCAGACTGTTAAAAAAACAAAAACGAAAAGCAAAAGTGTACTGTATATGACTTGCTGGAGGAAAATAATATGTCATCGATTTAAAAAGTAGTTTCTAGGTACATACACAGATTGTTCTAAGTATCAGACCCACTTTTCTCTGCACTGCCACCTACTTCATGAACACAGGTCAAAATCGAGGTATTCCAGTATTTTAGGGGCATTTGCTTCCAAGCTCGCCTTTGAGCTGGGCAAGTCTTCTCTGTGCGGTTTTGTAGCCACAGGCAGGACCAACCGACCGACCACTTCGGCTACCATTATGGTGCTCACCTTCCCTGGTTGCTTAGCATGATGGGTTTCCGTATCTCTGGAGATTTAGGAAGAGGCCTGTGTTCTGTTTCTAGAGGCATGGCGATATCCCTCGCAGCATTTGGTGCAACTGGTCGTGCGAGGCGAGATTGGAAAATCAAATTCCAATCATTCGGGTAGATGGGGGCGGACATGAGTGTCAGCGGTTGCATTGAGAAGCATGCAGGGCGACCAAGGAGGCAGAATAATTGCTCTTGAAAAGAAACTCTTGCTAAGAACTTAGCCAGCATTAAGATCAGAGAAGAATTGGAATTTACACAGTAGGTGGGACCTTCTTCATCACTTTTGTTATGGAGATATTTCAAAGGTCATTATTGTATCTCCAAGGGAACGGAGTTTCCCTTCCTTTCCCTTCCATGAGAAGCTGAAATTGCAAGGATGAAAGGTTGGATCTTGGAAACTTCTCTCCAAATAAGGGCTAGCCCAACCGCATGAGCAGCCGCAGGGGCTGCATTTTAGGGGTGGGTGATGAAGCAGCTGGCGCTCCAACAGATACCTGCTCCAAGAATTATGCCAAAGAGTTCGGAGTCATTGGCCATTGGGCATTCCTACCCAACTTGAGTCATTAGTGTCGGGGCGCTCAAATGACGTTGTCTCGTACGGAGGGAGCCTGGGTCCACCCTAGCTCCATACCGTCCGTTCTGACTGGGGACAATTCTCCAAGCTCTCCCAGTCTCACCACCAGAGAGACCAGGGTGACAACGTGGCACCTTTGCTTTCCAAGGCGCTGCTTATGCATGCAGGCTGCTCTCTTAAACCTGATTAGAGTCTCGCTAATCTCAGCGTAACATGCAAGCGCACGGGACTGTAGTCTCAGAGAGGTAAGCAAAAGGGAAAGCACTTCAGAGCTGTTTGTTTGGGATGCGACTGATTTGGGGTTTGGAGTAGTAAGCACAATGCTTCTGACATGCCTCGAAGATTAGAAAAACACCGTTTCCGTTCATTACCATTTCATAAATCACAGTGAACACAATCACAACACTCAGGGTTTGCTCATAGCAGCCTCCTGTCCGGTGACAGGAGGAGACAAAACCTCATTTCAGCCTTGCTAAGGACTGTTTGTTCATTAGGGGTAGACTGCATCCAGTTAGATAGCACTTGTGGGGTTTTAAATAGAAAATGAGGGTGCTAGCAAGATAGTGGGGCAGATGCTGTCTTCGACTGTTTGATTCTAGGCAGCCCTTATCTAAGAAGTTGTGCAAGAAAAAGCACACAGCCTTCACCTCCCGGGGTTCTCAGCTCCGTCTCTCTTTGACTGGTTCTGCTCTGGGGCACATCTGCAAACTGTGGGGAGGTGGGCACATGGCACACCCAGAATACCCGCCGGATGTGCCCCGTGCGGTGTGTGGGTGAGTCCGTTGCTCCACCCAGCCAGGAGGGGGTCATGCCGGTGGGTCTGTCCGACAGGCCTCACCTCGTGCTGGTGCGTGCGAGTTTGTTTTTGCACGGCGCCCTCTGAGCAGCGGGCCCAGCCTCCGGGTGCTCTGCGGGGTCAGGCTCCTGACCCGCATCCACGTGGAGACCTTGCCACACCCCGCTCAGGGGGGGCTGGGCTTGAAACAGGAAGAGTGGGTCCTGAATTCAAAAGAGGCAGAGCGATCTCAGGAAGCTTAAAGACACCGGAGGGTGCTTGGCCATCCCAGTTCCAGGTGGGAGAGACCCACAGTATTCGTCTGAATCCAGGCAGCGGGGGCAGCTGAGGCGAGGGCTGGAGCTGGAGGCTAAAGCCTGGAGCACAGCAAGTCAGTTGCTCCAGGAAGGAAGGCACGGCAGTCCTGGAGAGCCAGCTGCGGCCTGCCACCGGTCCAGCCGAACACACGATGCGGTAGATTTCCTCTCATTTTGAAGAAGTTTTCTGGTCAACTGTAAAAGCTGCTCAGATGTTAAATCTTTAGATTTTCTTCAGTGCCCCAGAGAACATTATGTTGGGAGCGCTGTGCATCCGGCACTCCGAGTATCAAGCGAAAGCAAAGAGGCTCGGCTCGGTTGTGTTGCTTGTGTCGGCAGGAGGGAGTGTGCGTGCCCGAATGCTCTCCCAAAATACATTGCTGGGATGTATAAATTAGATGTCATGGAGGAAGCCCAGCTTCCGTCAAGCAGGGCCGAACTGTTGCTTCTCCATGGGGGAGCAGTCCAGCGCCAGCCGAGCCCACAGCTGCATGCAGACGCGGGGCTGGCTGAGAAGAGTCTCGCAAGCTTCTTGCCCGTTCGCTGGCCTGGCTGCTGGCCGCTGCTATCGAGCAGCCAACACAAACATGCCGAATGGGGCATTCCAGTGTCCACTCAGGGTCGTGTTGGCATCCCATGGTGAGATGATTGGCATAGGATTACCATTGGTTTGGACACCTCGATAGCCGGCATTCCAAAGACACCAGATCTAGGAGATACAGGTTGAGCAAGCTTGGGATGGGCCACGACCTCACTGTGCCCCAAATGCATCAGGCAGATGGTCCAGAATGTTTGGGGACAACTCTTCTGCCTCCCACAAAACCTCAATGCATTCCTCGCCCCCACAATGCCAAAAACGCACAGTGCTTCTTTCCCCATCGCTACCTGCCTACCTGAGTCTACCTGCAGAAAGCTCTGTTGAGACCTCTACGTCTTCGCTCGTTGGCTTGTGCACCAGTTTAAGTGCCCATGGCAAACCAGCCAGAGAAGTTCTAGACAGGAAGGGTCCGTGCAACCGGACGGTTCCCCTTTCCCCATCTAGTTTCTCCTCACTTCTTCCCTTGCCATTCTTATTTATAGCTCTTTACAGCTGTACTCTGGGAACGGTGTATCGTAATGTATATTGATAACTGAAAATACAGCTTTCCAACAGGGTTTTGGTATTTTATACACATTTACTGTAATAGATTGCCTATTTTACTGCATGCATTTCATAGTAACTTCCACCCATGCAACCTTTCACTGGGGCTTTAAAACCTCATTACCTTAACAATCAGAGTGCTTTGTAAATATAGGCCAAGCCCCAGGCATAGAATCAGGTCACAGTGCTGTGAACTACCTGAAGAACTTTAGCTACTGGGCGGTATAGAAATAAATGAATGAATATGCCCTCTTCCACTTTAGCCTGCTCTAGTTCATCCCTAGCTTCATCCAGGAAGTAGTGAATAGACTTCTAGAAGTTCATTCAATGTGGGTTTCTTCTGGAAACAAGTTTTATGTATCAAAGTATAAAGAATGCAAAGTATATATGACTATAAAGCTTACCTTCTCACAATCATATTTTACTAGTTTAGGTGGGCAGCAGCTGCCCAAGGAGTCCCTTTTCTGTTATCACTCCCATGTAGAACTTGAAACGAAAATAAAAAACGGGGACAATCGACTGAGGTTGGGGTGCAGGTTACTGCTCCACGTTGGTTTGCATCAACAGAACCAAGGGATGGTGCTTTCCCTGGACAGAACCACTTCAGGTTGAAAATGGGAGTGGTGAGCGGAATGTCATGTTTGATGGACATGGCAAATTCCCGCTGAGCCACCTCCCACGGTCGTATTTTCCATATACAGGAGCATGGACCATTTTTAATGGGAGAACATTCAAATGTGCAGTTGCTACATGAGCGCCATCCCAAGAAAAGCACTTACCACTTGCTGGAGCTGACAGGATCAGCCACAAAGCCCAGCAGCTGAGAAATAGTCCTCACTGGGGGCAGGCCTTGCTTAGAACAAGCCGGTGGGTTCATTTCAGTATGGCCAGTGATAAGACTGGCCCAATCCTCTGGGGATAAACATGGAACCCTGGAGAAGTAGAGTGCACTTCTGCAACGTGGGGCTGAACTACATATTACACTTACTGAAGGAAAATGCCCGATCACAGGAACCTCTCCACTTCTGCCCCGTTCTCCTTGTCGTCATCATATCATGTGGCAGCATCAGCCAGAGCATCCTTTAGAGAAGGGATCTCACGAAGAGTCATGTGCTCCGTAGCAGGCAGGGTGTTCTGCCCAGGGATGGGACGTTCTCATTCCCTGAAACCTCCTGGTTTCCCATTGCCTTCTCAGTATTTGTGACCCCTTCCTCTCCCACCCCTTGGTAGGGTTGGGTGAGGCATTCGTTCAGTCCGTATTTCAACAAGAACTTAACACATTTGCAACTCCTGAACTTAAATGGGAACCAGAAGATGGTTTACTACCAAAATCCATGCATTTCTAAAGTGTGAGATGCAGTCAGGGGAAAAAACTACACAACACTGCCTAGATTTAAGGATATGCACTCAAAAACAAAGTACATTTGAAATAAATGTGGACAAGCATGCGCTATTCAGTGACCCAAAAAAATCACTTGAAAATATGTGTATGGTTGGAAAAAACGCACAGAAAAATGCAAGCTTTGGAAAGAAATGCATATGGAGATATGTGTTTTTTGCTTTTTAAAGTGTGTCTGTTTAAGTAAAAATTTCAGTCCAGTGCAAAATCAGGACTGACACTGGACAAAGGAGAACCCGTGTAAAGTGAAGCGTGACGGATTGGTCCTTCACCACCCAGCTCTCACCACTGTTGACATGTAGATGGCCAAACGTTGCACATTTACACCCTTGATGAGGCTGTGCCTGTTCAGGGCTCCATCACCACCAGCCTGGGTCACGAGGCTTCGTCCTCTTGAAATCTTTCTAAAAGAAGGCTGAGAATCTCGGGATGAGGGTTGGCTTGGCTGCAAAGTTATGGGGTGGGGGGGGGAGGCGTGCTTTTGGCATGATAAAGCAACTCGTAAAACATTTCTAAGTCCCATCTCTGTTGAAGCTATGCTTGGGGGTATTGTGTTTAGTTATTTGGGCAGAAATATATAGATTGATATAGATATATATTCTCCGTAAGTACATGAATGGAAGTATGTGGATATTATACATGTTTACATACGTATTTTCACTTTGGGATGAAAGCAGTCTGTACCTGTCGTCATTTCCCTCCTCTCAACAGCACCTCGATGCTTTCATGGATTACTTTGTGGGATTTTTTTAAAACGAATCACTACATTGAAGTATTGCAGTTGTACAGCTGTATGGTGATCTCTCCTCGCTCTGCTGTGATCTGTGTGTTTTTTAAACCATGTTTTTGTACTACATAGATTTATATCTTGTGACCCGTTTCCTATGCAAAAAACAGAAAAGACAACTAACAAATGTCAAATGTCAATTGTATGCATGATTAGTGATGTTTGCATTTCTGAATAAAGTTGAAAATTAAGGGCATCCGTTGCTTGCTTCTGCTCGGCGTCCAGCCCCAAATCCTCCTGCATGAGGCCTATTGAAAGCAATGGTGGCTGCGCAAGAGCATTCCTGGGCCTTCATTTCAATGTGGCTTGCACAGGATAACTTCCAGGTGGATTGTGCTTGAAGCCAGTGAATATGACCTATTTAACTTCTCTTCCTAAATACGCAGGCTGCAATTTTAAGCGTACGTACTAGGAAGTAAATTTCTACAACTTGGTGGGAACTACTCCAGAGTAAACACACGGTTGTGTTGTTAGTTGCAAACAAAGCAGTACAGAGCAGTACAAACTAGGCAAGAGTTTTCTCAACCGTCACTGCCCAGATACAATAAAGTTAGCATTTTCCACGCCCAAACACCCACGCTTCTGACTGTATATGCAGCTGGCAGGTTAGCTTACCGGGAGTTTCTGCTCTGCCCTTGACTCAACACTTTATCATTAATTCTGCAGGAGCCTGGGCTGCATCCATCTGCACTGGAGATAATGAATGTGAGTCTCACAATCAGGGTTGCGTAACCCCTGGTTTTCAAGGAAACAACCCCAGAGTGTATCCACCTACTAATCACTGGAGACTAATTAAAGCTCCAACAACACAACGGTGCAGGAAAGAGTGATGGCGTAAAGGAACAAGAGGCTGAAACACAATGGAAAAATAGTCACTATACGCTAGGTCACAATGTTGGCACCGCTTCCAGATTATCACAAAAGCAGTCCGCCCAGCGAATTTCGGCTTTGATCCACGCCTAACTGTACCGAACACTTCCGGCATCTATGCTCTAAAATTATATCAGCTTTATGCCAGTTTAAACAATGTGGCTCCCCTTGAATTGAAGATGCTGAGAACGGCTTGTTACAGGTCCTTATTTCTCCCCACAGAGCGACAGTTCCCAACATTTCCTGGTCAGCAGGAATGGCTGTCGAAAAGACCAGTACAATCGGTCCTTTCTCATGCCACTGAGTAACAGTAGCTCCCAATCTCACTCTGAGAAGTCCCATTTGAAAGCAGCCTGAGTCAATCGGGGTGAGAATCCCCCCAGTTCTTTGTTTATTGGGAAAAATGATCGGCTATAATTGGGAAAGGACCTTGCACAAATTCCCAAAGAACAGATTTGCAAACAAAACCTAGACAAACTTGTGCACCGCTTCATGTGTTTGTGGGCACACACTTTCTATTACCTTCTATTACCTTCTGTACTGGGAAAAATGAATAAAGCAGTCACAGAATTGCAAGGAATCCACTGGAAGTATAGGAGAGCTACTACTTCTCGCAGTTATTAACACATCCAAAATGGCATTTGCCGTTTTGGTCCCTGTGTCGCCTTGTTGGCTCATATTTAGTCTGTTGTCCACAACAACTCCAAGCAATTTTCATTTTTCGGTTTGGCTAAGACCAGACAGACGTTCATTCAAGAAGCTTTTTTGCTGGCAATGTCACTCCACTGCTCCCCTTCGGGGGCACCAGCTGCTGAAACGCTGCGGCAGCTGTTGGGCGCAGCCCCACGTTAGGCTTTGATGCAGTCCCAAACACCTTATTCATTCCTTTAGAACTTTTCTATCCTGTCCCATCACAGACGTCTCGGGACGGTCTAGAACAGATTAATACAATAAAATAAATAGAAATAAGAGTGACAGTTGCACAGCATCTGATGTCAAAATATAAAACCATCAAATAAAACCGGTTAATCCTGATGCTGAAAGGAAAGACGCGTTGGTGCCAGGTGAACCTCTCCGGGGAGCATGTTCCACAGTCTGGGTGCCACCGCAGAGAAGGCCCTGCTCTGGGTAGCCACCCTCCTGATCTCCTTCAAGGACCTGAGATCTGCCTCAGGTCTCAAGGGGCGGGAGGGCACATGGGGAGAAGACGCTCCTTCAGGTATCCAGGATCCAAACTCTTTAAGAGTCAGAAGAGTCGTGTTACTCCCCATCCTCTTAGAAAATACCAAGATGCCGGAACCTAGCTAGCCCAGCATTTTCTATTCTGCCGGGTGCTGCTCTCCAACTGTCTGGCAGAAAGAGCGCTTTCCCCAACACCCATTACACCTTCAAGGGCACTTCTTCCTCCTCTCTGCCCATAATGAGACCTAGAACTGGTTGTCGCTTGCCCGTCTCCAAGGCTCACTGGGGCGCCAGCTGTCCGGCCAGCCCCTGGCTTACCCAGAACAGCTTCCTGCCGCCACCTGTCTGGGCACTTTCCCTACCTTTTGTGTAAGGTTCTATCCCGTGCCAACCCGACTGCTAAACCAGACTTTCGACAGAAATGGAAGCAAGAAGGCAGCAACAAACCCGACCATGGCCCCGCCAGGGCCAAAACACCCCTCTGCCCCCTCTCCCAGCTGGCCATGGTGAGCAGGGACCCGGTGACGCTGCCATGTGCAAAGCACCGATCGCAACCGCGTTTCAACTGTGTCCTCGTGCGGGGAACAGAATAGGACGCTGCCTGACTCCAGCCCTAGGCAAATACCGACAGACCTCTCTGGAAACGATCCTGCACCAGGGTTTCCCGGCAAGTGTGTGTGCGCCTTTAAGAGGTGAATGAATGTACTTTCCCAGGCTTTGGTGTTGCGGGTAACTCACCAAATGAGTCATGACTGTAAGATCCTGGAGACAAAATTGCATGGACACCAAACAGAATGGGACAATAGCAACAGGAGTCCAGCGCCTCCTCCCCCGTTCCCTTCCCTTCCCCTTCCCTTCCCCTCCCCGTCCGCCTCCTCGCCTCCTCCCCTCGCTGCAGGAACGCTTGCCACATACCTAAAGAGCCAAAGTGGAACAGAAACAAGAGACAAATACACGGGAGCTACTTGACTTACATTTTTCTCATTCTATTTATTCGACTTTCCCCCAGGCTGGGCAACCAGCCAGGGCACAAGCAGGATCAGTCTGTGCTGGTTTCCCACTTGGTTTTCTATTTATTTTCAAAATCTAAATTTTTAGCTAAAGATTGCTACCAACGACGTGTAACGAAGCAGGGAGCTTCCGTCTTTCTACGGAATCACAGGCTGTGTGTGTGTGAGATTCTACGCAAAAGCTCCAAGCGGAGGTTTGTTTGCACCAAAATGTGGAAATTTCATCTCAAGTAATCTCCAGCGCTGTGCTGAAAATCCGGTGCAATTTACAAACATGGGCTCAAGGGGTTTGGGGCTTGGGATTCAAATTGGGGTGTGCACACACAGAAATGGGTAAATCTGAGCACTTGTTAGGCTGATAGGCCTGGTTGGCTTGTGAGGTTCAGGATCCTGGGCTGAAGCATGTATTAAGATGGGACTCACATTGCTTAACTCGGTCTTTGGACCGCGCAACTTCAGGCACAATTGTTTTGAAAGACTGTGTCTGCCTACACACCAAATTCAGTGGCACTTGCTCCTGGGTGAGTGAATTTGGACGGAAAGCTACGGATAGATTTACGGATCCAGGGTGGTATTTTGCTCATTCTCCGACAGATGGCCATGTTTAGAAGAAGAACTAATTCCTCAACAGTCCCCCGGAAGGGAACCGGGCAGCGCTGGTGGATTTGGCCTGGCTTTCCGTGCACCTATTTCGGAATGGAGGACACCAGGCACCAAAGCTTCTTGCTCCGCAGTGGCTTTCCGTAGGAAAGCTGAGATCCACAAGTGGAAATAGAAGGGGCACTGCTGTACGTTGTCCAGCGGATTATTTGCCCCCTTCGTACAGCCCTGGGTCCCCTTTCGCCCTCTTCCCTTGGCCTCAGAGTAACCCTACTGCTTCCCACACTAAACGCCCTCTCAGAGAGTGCAAGGGGCCTGCGCAGGGAGTGAATCGTGGCGGCGGCACCGGCGTGAAGCCTCAACCTGACAGTCACGGTTCAGCAGTCCACAGCCTTCACCCTTTTCTGTCTGCTTACGCAGGACCCTTTTTGATGAGCACAAGGGAAGGGGAAAGGAAGACAAACATGAAACGCAGACGCTTGTGCTTAGGACACTAAGTTTAGGTCTCGTGATTCAGGCTGGGCTAAGGGCTGCCAAACTCTTGCTTTACCACGTCTGACCAAGCATATCGCAAGAGGCAATGAGCCATTCGGAGAGCTTGCTCTTTGCAAGGGTGAACTGCTGCCCTGGGTTTTTCCTCCCCTCGCCTGCTGTGGAAAACACAAAAGGAAAGTTGGCAAGGCAGGACTCCTCTGCTTGGCACGTCCCTCCGGCCTTTCCATGTAGCCAGACTCCTGCTAAAGAAAAACTGGATTTGTTCTTGTTTTGAATGAAACATGGCTGTTCTGAGTCTAATCACAGTGAAGTGGGTAAATTATGGAATTTTCCTCCCTCCTGCAGAAAACACATCATTAGATGCTTTTTTCTCAGTGATTTGTCATATATTTATATACTCTTCAAACACAACTTTCCTTTTTAGTCCAGCAATGATAGTCATTTTGAAAAGCATAGGAGGCGTTTTTGCTGGGGGCGGGGGGAGAAAAGAACATCCCCACTTCCCAATTAAACAAATGAAATATTCTAAATTATGGCAGGGGGCAGATTTAGGAGAATCTCCATTGTGCTAATTCAGACTCTGCCAGGTTCCATAATTTAGGTGGAACTGCACAGAATCTGGCCCTGCCTCTCAAGGGGGGGAAATGTCAGAATCCGGTATGTGCCAAAGGAACTGGCGTGTTCAAACACTTGAGAACGTGTGACGTACAGAACTGAGGAAAGACAGCTTTTCACCTCCCCAGTCTGTGTGTGCTTGCATTTGAAGTTTGTTTCATGAAATGTATAAACTCCCCTCTGTCCGTAGGGATAATAGGCATATAAACATTAAACAGAATTACCAACGCAACTGAAAGGAAGCCACTGCAAAAGGACAAACAATCCAGCTGCAAATGCTTGGGAAGCCGAGCTGTTTTAACCTGCCGCTTAAAGCACTGAGATGTTGGTGCCAGGTGTGTCCCTCAAGGGGAGGGGGGTTCACAACCAGGAAGCCACACTCAAAGTACAGCTGCTCTGTCCTCGTGTCATACTTTGTGTGTTT